ATAATCTCATTTTGATATTCCTCTATTATATGCACACGACCTTTCAAGAGTAAAGATGAGACTTCTTCGCAGTAGAGTCATTTCTATTCGGTGAAACAGAAGCAATAACCTGACATCCTGACTTCAAGATCATCCATTGAAATAGTGGCTGTTAGAGTGGGTGGTTCCATTATTGCAAATGTTATGCTTAGGAGCCTTAAAAAAAGTGCGAGTAGTTCTCACAAACAACGTCAAATTGTTGCATGTTAGAAAATTTACGATAGTAGAGTGATGATTTAACGTTTTAGCTTTGTACATAGATCTAACACACATATAGATAAAAAAAAGTTGTAAGAGAAGAGGCCAAGATTTTTTACATGGAAGAAACTTGGAAAGGGAAAAAAATCATTGAGTTTGTCCCACTTAAAATAATCCACGATATAATCAGGTGTATTGAGGTTCACTCTTCACTTGAATTAAGGACGATGAGATAATTAGATGATGTTAAAATCATAACTGCTTTATAATAACCTAACATTTATAATTGTATAAATATAATTTGGACTATATCTGCTATAGTTCATCTTCAATATTTTGGTGGGGCTGTGATGCTCGTAGTTGGATACAAATACTATAGTTGCTGACCATGATATCCATATTTAGAGGCTATAACAAAGATAGTTGGCTACATTAGCCATAGTTGAAGGCTATTACAACTATTTGGCTGTAGCAATTGCTAGTGTTTGTCGGTGGCGAACTCTAGTAGCCGATCGTGAATTCTAATTGTCAACGACTACTGTCGGTGCTTCAAGAATTAAGCTTCTGTTGTCGGCTCACTATTATTCTCACCACCCCTCCTCTTTATAATTTTTAAGAGGGGTATTTTGGTTAATTTGATCTCCTAAAATAGTTTTTTTAGCATTTAGGTGTCTTAAGTACATCAGAGTTGAATGTTGTTGGGTACGTTGAATTTTTGTCATTGAGACGCTAAATTTGACTATAAACATACAAAATCTTAAGATCGTTTGACTTTTCAAATGATGCATTAAAATCTTTCAAGTGTTCGATCTAGGCTGATTTGAACTCAGATTGGATCACTTTGTGCATTAAGCTCGTCTTATCAAGACGCTCAAATTGACTATAAATTTACTGAAATTGGGGCTCAAATGATCTTGAATTTGGAATGTTTCTTGCTCAAAATCCCTTGAGATTTGCGTGCGATTATACAATTTTGTTGATGACATCAAAATTAATTATAATTTAACCTCTAAATAATATGGAAACTTTTGTTAAATTAAGAGAAAGTAATCATTCAAAATCTTTTTTCAATGGCAACTAAAAATTTTACTGTCCAATGCTTATATAAAAGTCTATTAATCAATGCATTACATGGTAGAGAAGTGCGACAACTATAGTTTAATAAGACCACATATAATTATGTTAATTAACTATGTAATTTTTTTCTTATATTTCTCTTATTACAATTTAGTTATATTACCCATTGATTTTTTTTTTCATTCTATCATATCATTATACTTGATTAATTCTTATTTTTAGATTTTTAGTCCTTTAAAGTTCTTAAATTTCATTTATCTTATTTAATGTACAACTTAATCCTGTTTTACGAATATATAAATATTAGCTTATTCTATTGATTAATTTATTCTATCAAAATCAAACTCCTAAATTTACAAAATTAAAATTGTCATAATCTTAATTTTAAGATTTCAGCCTTTTTTTTAACTTAATTGAAATTATAAATCAAATGCATAGTTCTATTATTCCTTCTCTTGATTGGATCTTTTCCTATGCATTGAAATTCTCACAAAATTTCTGTGTATTTAGAATATAAACCTTGTGTTTATAGATATTATGAAAAAATAGAGGTCCTAAATTGACTTTATTTGTTTTCATCAAATAAAATTTCTAAACTCATATTTTGTTTTCCAAGTTTTGCAAAGTACCAATATTCCTTTTATTGATCTATTTTTTCTTCCGCAACAATCCTTATAACATCCTTTGAAAGATTACTCAGGATTTTCATCCTAGTTTATGAATTAACCAAAATATTTATTATAGGCTTTCCTTGATTTTGAATGGGAAGAGAAGATTTATTTATGCTCTACACCTTTCCTTCGTACCTCACTTGGTCGCACATACCTGCTAGACCCCTGCTTTTTGCCGTTGTGGCACCCTTCACCTACTATCACAAGCTTCATCTCGCTTGTTCAACTGCTCGCTCTCTACCTTCCTCTCTTTTGCACTTGTTCTCTCAATGGTCCGCTTGCTCCCCCACTTGCTAGCGCGACATACTTCCGCTGCATAGATTCCATTGAATTGGTGCTGCCAGTTCTACCCACCCACACCCAAACACGAACATTTGTATGTATGAACGTACATACATGACGTACATACGAAATTATATATATATATATATAACTTTGACTTCAAATTTGAAGATGACTGATTTGTGGAGATATGAGGGTAGAATTTGGGTTGGTGGGGAAGATATAGTTGGCTGAGATTGAATTTTTGACAATTTGCTGATGAAAAGCAATGACGTTTAGAAAATAATAATCAAATCCAAAAATTGAAATTAAAATTCATTTCTAAATTTCAGGCATCAAATTTTAATGAAGAATAAGAATTGATCTTTGGTGTGGATTGATTGAAAATTTTGTGCAAGTTGTGCAATCTCATCGGCATGTTTTTTTTAGGAGCATTTACTTACCACATAATTCTTATTTATTTATACATCTAACCTCTAAACATTTATATTTATATATATATCACTCAAATCTTTAACATCACATCAAAAATATCATCTTTACCTTTTTACAATGAAGTACACCTTTTCACGCATAGACTGATGACACCAAGATTTGATTTTGTAAGTGTAAATATCAACTTTATGAGAACTGTGAGGTATAAATGTAAATTTCCCTTTTTCTTATATGGATCCGGGCATGTACTGTTAATGTGAACAGTAAGAGGTACCGTTAGGCATTCGATAGAAACTACAAGGTTTTTTTTTTTTTTTTTGAAAAGCTACAAGGGATATTTTGGCTGTTTGGTGGCTGGGAGCGCTGGGAATTGTACGAACTAAATGCAAAATGCTGGAAGGGCAAAGAATCTATTGAAATATGGAAAACAGAGGGATATATACCCATTTTTCTTTTTTTTTTTTTTTTCATTTTATTTTAGTGAAATTTACATACATACATGCCACACAATTCCAATATATTTACATATCAAACACCTACAATTTGTCATTTACACTCATAGCACCCGAGTGCCATAAACCTATAAATGAAAAGTGTATTAAACTTTTATAAAGACGGTGTATGGTGGTATTTTTGACGCGCTGTTGAAAATTTGAGTGATATGTGTATGTATGAAAGTTTAGGTGTTAGATGTATAAATAGATAAGAATTGTGTGGTATGTTTGTAAATGCTCCTTTATTATTTTTTTTTTAGGAAGACTTGCATGCATACCACATAATTCATATGTATTTGCATATCTAACACGGAAACTTTGAATTTATAAGAATTGTGAATTGAAAGAAATGAAATTAAGAATTCGTAAGCATCTGCAAAGAAATGAAATCTTATGGGACATGAGCTTACATATTATTTACGATAATCTCTTTGATATTTTGTGTAATAAATTTGTTATTTTTAATGACATAAATACGTTCAATGATGACAACAAGCCTTTATCCCACTTGGTGGGGTCGGTTACATGAATCCTTTTATTCCATTACATCCTATTGAATGTCATATTTTCATTTAGTTCTAATAGATTAAGTCTTTTTTTAGGTCTACTTATGCTTTTCTTACATAAGTTAAATCCAAAACATCTACTCTTCTAATAAGATCATCAGATGGTTGATTTTTAATGTGACCAAACCATCTCATATGACTCTCTCTATTCTTGTCCGTCACTGGAGCTACACAACCCTATCACGGATATATTCATTTCACATTGTCTCTAAGTATAAAGCGGCTCATCCACCTAAGCATTTGCAACTTAGCAGCACTTAACTTTGTTTTATGTTTATCTTTTAAAGGCCAACATTCTGCACCACAAAGCATTGTAGGTATTGCCACCATCTTATTAAATTTTCCTTTCAGTCTAAGCGGTACTTTTCTATCGCACAATAGGTCTGTTGCATTCCTTCACTTCAACCAACCAACTTGAATTCTACTAACGACATCCCCATCTATATCACTATCAGTTTGAACAATAGACCCAAGATTTCTAAAACGATCACACCTTTTAATGATTTGATCACCCATAGTTACCACTCTGCCACTAGATACTAAAATTAATGATATTTACATATATTCAATTTTAGATCTACTCAAATGAAGGCTTTTAGAATCTAATGTTGACCTCCATAATTCAAGTTTTTCCTGAACTCTCTCTACTCTCGCTAGTATCCAAAAGAAGGATATCATCAGCGATAAACATACACCAAGGTACATTCTATGTAAATGTCTAGTAAGAGCATCCATAACTAAAGCAAAAAGATATGGTCTTGCAACGAATCTCTGACGTAATTCAACTGAAATAGAAAAACACATGGTTAATCCTTCTGTTCGAACACAACTAACAACTATAACATAGATATCTTTAATGACTTTTAATGTTTAATACAAAGGCATCCAAATAAATAGTTTTCTTTTATGTTTCCTGACATTTTATAACATCAAACATGACATGACATTGATATTTGTAACATTATGTTCTGTTTGACACATGCATGACATAACAAGTGTCTAGTAAACTACCGTTGACTTGTCCTATTAAAAAATAGGGGCATTTTCATACATACAACAATTATTTATTTATTTACATATCTAGCACCTATAACATAAAAGCCATTACTATCACTCAAACTTTTTAAAACTGAAATACACATTTTCATGCTTATTACACAAAAATGGTATAAATGTAAATACAAAAGTTGAGATGTTAGAATTATAAATTCATAAGAATTTATATTCTTGTTTTTCAGGTTGCCTGCTGGAACAGTTCTATCGGCACCACTACTTGCTTGAAATGGGCTCCCCGGCGAGCCATGTTTGCTGCAGCATCAACAGTCCTCACATTTTGGATACCAAATTTATCGAAGTTGAATAACCCTCCCAGCACTGAAGTTTCTGCTGCATAATCTTCTCAAGAAAATTATTTTAGTATTTTGGGTTTCTCTTCCTGGCGCCTGAAGGTTGAAAAAAGCAGATTTGAACTATAAAAAAAATTTAGAAAACAAAAAGAAAATAGTTTCTCAAACAGAGTTGTGATGATGACCTGAAATGTAAAGCAAAGAAGAAGTTATTCCAAACAGATTCGTAGGGTCTGTTTGGGGCAGCTGTTAACTTATTGAATAATATGCTCATAAGCTGATTAAAAATAATCTGCTAATAAATTAGGTGTGGTGGCTATTACAATTTTTTATCTTTTTGAAAAAGCCAGACTGCTATCAAAAAGCTGCCACCGCACCTAGATAGGTGCGGTGTGAAAACGTTGTTTTCAGCGTTTTCAAAATGCATAAGCTGTCAAAACAGGTCAGGTGCGTTTTCAAAACGCCACAGCACCAAATAAGCTGCCTCAAATAGACCCTTAGTCTAAGCTCTCAACCATGAGCTCTAATTGTGTTTACGGTTTTACATATTTGAGTGTGTTTATGATTAAACTTGTTCAAATATTTCCTTAAAAATAGAAATAAGCCTTTTAAATATTTTTAATAAATTAATATTTGAATTCTTGAATTTTAATGTGTAATTGTGTTTCATATTTGGGGAGTTTGTATACATATTGCTCAATTCTTATGTATTTGTATATTAAACATCTAAATTTTAATTTTTTATATTTATATTACACAAATTTTTTTATTTCGCTTAAAAGATATCATTATTTTAACTTATAAAAGGTGAAATATATATTTTTTTCATGCATATATAAGGTGGCATATATATAGAAATTGAAGTTTAGATATTAGATATGTATATGACATATGAAATAAGTAGTGTGCAAGTAAATTTTACTTTATATTAATATGTTCTTACTAAATGTTGAGTTATGATCTTAGTGGTTAAATTTGGGCTGTAAATGAATGAATTTACTTATTAAAATCCTCTCCTTTAAGTGATAACTTATATGTATTTTATTCAATTCAGTTAAACAATATTTAATTTGGGTTTTGTGAAATTAAATTCTAAAAATTATGACTTTCTAAAAGTTTAATTTTTTAAATTTCAAATTTTGATTTTTAAATGGCAAATATAATTTTTAGAATCTGTAGTCTCTTTGAATATTTGTTTCAAACAATTTAATAATTATGAAAATTTATTTAAATTTTTAAATAACTTCAAGAGATTGAAAGTATTCAAAATCAAATATCATTTAATTCAAAATTGGTTACTAATTCAAAATTTATATTTAGGATAATTTGCACTCACATGTGTGGTGATGTCTTGGTTAGCAAAAATTTTTCTGTGCTGACTCCTGACGTAGCTCTACGTGCGGTGCAGAGTATTCTTGAGTTATTTTCAGGTTATTTCTGGATTATTTTTAATAATCCCGAAATAACCCAGAAACAACCCGCAGTCTTTATTTTTAGGTTATTTCTGGGGTATTTCAGAATTATTGAAAATAACCTAGAAATAACCTGAAAATAACTCATGAATAACCTGCACTGCACGTAGAGGTACGTCAGGTGTCCGGACAGAAAATGCGCACCTTGGTTAGGCCAGGTTGACTTTTGGTCAACTTTGGTTGACCATGCCTTTAGCATAAAATTTTTCTTGGTCATATAGTTAAATTTAAATTTAGAGGTAAATTTACATGTTTTGGTTAATTCCTCTTATTTTTTATAATTAAGAAGGTTTTCATAATATTAATCACTTTATTTTCAAGACAAAATTTTTATTGAGTTATATTACTCCTTTTTTATGTTTTTTCACTCAAGTAAAAGACTAATTGAGTGTGCCAGTTCATAAATTTTAAAGGACTTCTAGAAAAGGAACATTATCTCTAAAATGATGGGCTATTTATAGAGAATGAGTTTATTTTTTCACTATTTCATCACCAATTACCTTAAATTATTTATAAATTAGATTAATCATAATGAAAGCATTTTACATGTCTTTTTTTTTTCTTCCTTAATCATAATGTTTATTGGAAGGATTCATAAGTAATTTAGAGTTTTTCAACAAACCATCATCCTTGGATTTGCAAAAAGAAAATGAAAAGGTTGAAAGATTGTGATTATGAATAGATAAGTTTCTTTGATGCCTATTAAAACTAAATAATATAGTTAAGACGAGAATACGCCCTCTAAAACTAAAATTAATTCATAATTTAATTGCTTGTCAGTATTTTGATGTTAAAAATCTTTTTGATGATATTGGTTGACAAAATTAAATCAACATGGATTTTGAACTCTTTATCTCCATCACATGGTCAAGGATCAACAATAAGTGGGAAAGAATATCGACGATGAAATGAACTTAAAGGATGACATTATATTATAATAACAAAAACTTTTCAAAAATAATCTTTTTTAGTTGTTGAAGAAGTTTTTCACTTTAGAATGATTAATTTCTATAAACTTTAATGTCTTACTTATGGAAATGACAATGATAATAGAAGCTTTGTCTCTTCTCAAAAGCCACATAATGCCTCGATTAAAAATCAATCCTTATCACATTCGAGAAGCTTTAAGAAATATCAATCTCCATAAAAATATGAGCAATTGAAAGCATTAATATGTAAATAGTTGGTGAGTCCACTTTTAAAAGGGTTTTTAAACAAAGTCTTAGATGAGTACAAGGATTTGTCAAAAGTAATGGAAAACAATCCAAATAAGGATAACAAGAGATAACATTGAAAAAAAATCAATAGAATATTTTGATAATCTTATTAAAGATTCACCAACAACAACTATTTTTTTTCTCACAAAAAGAGATGCAAAGCATATACATCATATAAAGTTTAAGAGAACATAAATTTCATAACTTCAAATTTGGTCTAAATAGATTAACTAGGAGGTATACCGAAGATACATTTTTCCACTCAGGCCAGTTCAGTGGAACCATTGTGCTTGAAAACACAATTTTATGGATCATAAAAGTGGGTTTACCTTGCTATAAAAATAATAAACGAGGTGGTTGTTTATATATTGGGGGAGAAATAATGAAAGGAATATTTACAATTAGCCAAATATATTGGAGGTTGAAATCAACTTTGAATAACTTAAATAAAGAGTAGTCAAGTGATAGTGAGCGCAATAAGACAAGGGAAAGCCACAAGTGCAAATAGTAGTGGGCAACAAAAGGCTCAACATAAGGGAAATGAAAAAAAGAAGCCATGAAACAACCCAAACACACTTGATGGAACCAACCATCCAGCTAGTTCTAATCATAAGGGATAAAGTCTAAACCAAGCTTATGAAAAAAAAAGGTATGAAGTCATACTTAAATGTGCCAATGTCCAAGAAGAATTGAGGAGGTTAAGGAGAACCATAGTTGCTTGCTTGAAATGGGAGGAAGTGAATGATATGTGAGAATAGCTTCATAAGTGAAACTCTAGAGAGGGGATGTCTAAGTTACTTGATTTGAGTTAAGCGACTATTATATAGGCAACAGAAATGATTTATGTAATTAATTCATAAACTATTAATGTAATAGAGTTCCAACTTGGTCTTTTAATATATTTTACAATAAGTTTATCTTTACATTTAAAATATTATAAATAATTTTTATATTTTAATAATTCTATCAATTATTCTTTAAGTAGTTATGATAAAACATATATTTAATAATTAAAACATAATTATACACGAAAATTTAGTTATCTTTTAATTCTCATCACTATTAGAAATACTATGATTCACCATTTTGAGCTCATCCTCAAGTTGCAAATGTTCTAAATAAACTATGTGTAGTAAATTAGTAATTATCACCATGATTTAGCTAAATCATCATTAAATTATATAAATCTTACAAAAATCATTTATAAAATAAATCAAATTTTGACATCATTAAAGCACTTATGAGTCAAATATTAATCACGCAGACTTATGAGGTTAACGGTACGCTGATACTAATTTGCACTAAGAAAATTCTCAGTGAAATAAAAAAAATTGCGAGTTGACACATAGAGATATCAAAACACTTTGGTGTTGATTCAATACTTCAAGAAAAGATCATCCTTATCTCCATCACAACATTGAAAAAAATTAAGTCAAGCGAGGAAATAATATCATAAAAAAACCCATAATTTTTTTTATTATTTTGAATCTATAAAAAGGCACTGAAAACATTTACTTAGTGAAAAATAAGTTCATTATAGAATTTTGTCTACAAAAAAATTTATGATAAAATATTATCTACATCAGCAATATACATAAATATACATAAAATAAATATAAAAGGAAAAGACCCACCCAACCTTTCTCTCATCCCACTACAAATGACAAGAACTAACTACACCATATGTTCCTCTAGCCTTAGTCAACTAAAGAACAGCTTCCTTGTCCAATCAATCAATTGCAAGTTCTATGACAAATCATCCACAGTTATCTCATTTATTTCATGACATATAATGACATAATGCATTCAAAACTTTCAGCTACATATATATATATATATATCAATATATATATATATATATATATATATAAGATAAAATATCTAAATTTGCATGGTGGTTACATTCTTTTACTACAGTATAAATTTTTATAATCTCTAGGCAACATGAGCCACCGATAATGTGTCTAACAATTCGAGTACTACCTTCTTAAAATCAACTGTGTCAGAGGGGATTCGAACCCCTGACTTGAAAGGACTTATATCATAGATGCCAACCAACAAGCCGGGTACGCGACACATGATGTTTTGTTTAATGAGCTTAATATCGTACTAAAATCTTTTATTAATTCTTAAATTTCAGAGAGAGAGAGAGCGCGCGAGAGAGAGAAAGATGCTTATGTTCCACTCATTTCAAAATAATTTAAAAATTTTTAAAATAAATAATTATTAAATTTTTATTAAACATCTACACTAACTTCTAATATTATTTTTCCATATTCATTTTAAATAAATGAATTCTTAAGCTTAATCTTTAATATAATGGCCTTTTAATAATTTAGTTTAGGTTAATTGATCCAACTTTTAATAAAGTAGTGATCCAATCATGCATGAGAGCGGCTGCAAATAAATTAGTAGCTTTAATAAAGCTGATTGAACAATCATTTTCCAACCAATGGCTCCAACAAACATTCAAATGAAATCATTTAAGTCATCATTAAGTTATATCATAGAAAGATTAAAGTTGTAAGTTTCCATAAACAAATAATGGTTAAATTTAAAGTAGAATTCTTTGCATATTTTAATATTTTGATTTTCATTTCAAATTCAAACTTCAAATTTCCATCTTTTTTTTTTTTTGTCAAAGACTACTTGAAACTTGCTATTTACAAATCAACCGTTCTCTTTCGTTCATTTCTCAAAATCTCACTTAATTATCAAAGTTCATGATAAAATCCTAACCATATTTATCATTTTTTGACAAGTTCTTAATAGTTTCTTGGTGGCAAGCGTAAATGCATCAGTTCGATAGTTTAAAAAAATCACCTGGGTGCTTAATTTATAATTATTAATATTTATGCTCGTCAGTACTTAATTATCCCTAATTTTTTAACGCTCAACATAAAATAAGTCAACCGAAAGGGTGAGAGGGAATATGAAGTGAGGTATATTAACATCACTTTAGACATAAAACTATCTCTAGAATAAAGAAAGTATAGCCCCCAAATTTGACTTCCATGCACTTTTAACAACTTAATAAATGGTGAGTATAGTTGGCTCATATGTAAGGAGGATGTTCTTCATATATGTATGTGTGTGCGCGCGCGCTCCGCCTACCTTGAAGTTTTGCTTGATAGAATTTATAAGACCCCTAAGGTCATGAGTTCGTTCACACCTATGTACTAGATGAAATTCTAATAGCCTCTCACCAAACTTTGAATATATATATATATATAAATCAAAT